ATATTGTACCAAATAGACAAATAACCTCAGTTTAATTAGACAGCAAGAAATCAGGCTTGATTAATATTTAGATACGAACCCATCACCCATCTCTTCTCAGCACCAGTGGCCGCTAAATATTTGGGTTAATGAAGTAATCCAAGTATATAAATTTGACCTTATATGAATCAACAACACTCTACTTGTCAGTTTCATTTCATTTGTAAAATGAGGGGGATGGATTAAATAACCATTTGTTCTCACCAGTCCTATTTCAAAAATGTACAGAGACCTTTTCTATTTAATACTTTCCACTTAAGAACTTTCATGGATATGATGAGTAAAACTACAGTACAGAGTAGCGGCACCTGAACTCTGTTTTACACTGGCAACACTGATTTTGTAGTTATTTTCATCTCTTTATCATAGTACCTACAATTAATTTGCTATGTTTGTGCTACTTCATATTGGAGCTATTTTATATACACCTCAGACCTAAAGATAAGGCAAAAGGGTGTCAAGAGTTATTAAGAGAAGGCATACACAAAACAATAATGAATGACAGAGTGAAAAAAAATTAGAATAAATGCTTCATATATATCTTTGATAAAGATTGGACGAGAGAAAGCGTTCTGAAGGACAAAGAGCAAAGCCAGCTGTAAAGAAAAGTACTTTGACCTTGCAATCAAGAAAAGACAAAGACTGATAAAATGTCCTATTATATGGTATGAAATCTAACTGCTTATTAGTACCACTTGGAGCTTAAAAAGCCATCACTGCCCAGAAATTTGGATTTAACTGGTCTTGTCATCCGTAGTTTCCTAAAACTCTCTGGAATTTTTTTTTTTTTTTTTTTTTGAGATGGTGTCTCGCTGTGTTGCCCAGGCTGGAGTGCAGTGGCATGATCTTGACTCACTGCAACCTCCACCTTCTGGTTCAAGCGATTAGCCTGCTTCAGCCTCCCAAGCAGCTGGGACTAAAGGCACATGCCACCATGCCCAGCTATTTTTTTTTGTATTTTTAGTAGAAACGAGGTTTCACCATGCTGGTCAGGCTGGTCTTGAATGCCTGCCTCAGCCTCCTGGAAGTTTTTATTTGCAATCAGTATTAAAAACTTTGTTAGAGAAGATCAGTACCCACATCAGATTCCTATTAGTCTAATGCAGTGGTTATCAAAGTGTAGTTCATGGAGCCCTTTCATGGGTTCATGAGGTAAGAACTATTTTTACAATACTAAGATACTTGCTTTTCAACTGTGATGCCATTTTCATGCATCACATTTTCATGGGTGATGCAAAAGTAATACTAGCAACAGAATTATTGTCTAAACTGCTACTGCCTCACCCACTCCGGACATATAAACTTTGCTTTTCTTCTTAAATTTTTTGTGCAATTAATGGTATTGTTGCATAGTAGAAAGGGCACAGTGTTTGGTGACAAACCTGTTAAGTTTAAATCTTAGCTTTGTCATTTATAAGCAGCATAATCTTGGGCAAGGCACTTAGCACTCTGCAGCTGTTTCTTCATATGAAATATATGGCCAATAAGTCTTTAATAAAACCTTGTATGTGAAACACCTGTCAGAGTAGGTGCTTAACCAATACAGTAAGTCCTCACTTAAGGTCATCCATAGGTCCTTGGAAAATGCAACTGTAAGCCAAAAGATGTGTAACAAAACCAATTTTACTATAGGTGAACTGATATAAACAAGAGTTAAGTTCTGATGGCATATTTCTGGTCACAAAAACATCACCAAACTTCCAAATAAATATCAAAACACTTCTGATATAAAACTCTGAAATAAATGTGAGTTATACATTCACTTAAGAAAGATTAATAAAAACAAGTAAGATAACTGGCTATTCATCCACTATATCAGTTCAGTGTTGAAGGTGCCAAGAGCCATCCCAGTAGCTTGGAGTATGCAACATCATTCCAGTGCAGAGCACTCAAACTGCGAGAGTGTAGACACCTCAACAAACCTAATGTATACATCTCTGGGATGGCGGGGTGGAGAGAACCAGAGTTCCCAGAGAAAATCCATGAAGACACGAGAACAGACAAGAAGACAACGTGCAAAGTCCACACAGCAACTGGGAATGGAGTTTCTTCCTCATAAATGTTATCAAAGATCTGCTGTATTTCTTTCCTGTCCAATAAATCATCCAAGCTGGAGCTGTGCTTCATCACCCTTCACTAAGTACCTTCAAAATCATTTTCATAGTTTTCCTTTCCTTTCGACCCAACTGCTCATCAGAGTTGAGACATTCAATCATCATATAACTGAATTACTGTACTTGTTTTCAAGCTGGTCTCCCAGATTCTAATCTTTCTCCATTTAAATATACTCTCTCCATGCTGTTAGCAGCTGGTTTTCTAAAATGCACACCTTTTATTTCACTGCTCCAAAGCCTTTATCAAGTAAGGAATTAAATATCATCAAAATATAAAGTCTTTGGCATGGCACAAAGCTCTTCAAAATCCGGTCCCAATCTTTCTAGCGTCACATATCACCAGCCTACTATACTTCTTTTCTTTTATTCTTGCCACATTGAGGCTTCATGCAACTATTGAACTTCATGCCTTTTGTTTCCGTAACTGCCATTTCTTTCTCTATGGGACAGAGATCTCTAGCTAATGACTTCATCCCAAATACTCAATCTTTAAAATGCAGGTGAGAGAATTACTTTCTTGCTTGGGGACATCTCCCAAGCAGTTCCCAGCCAATACTACTCCTTCCACTGCGTTTAATTATTTTCTACATATCTTCTGCTTTGAGAGAAAATATTTCACACCTATCCTCTGAGATTCAGTTTAATTATGAAATGTGAGCAGTCATTCCCACTTTGCAGAGTTTGTAAAAATCACTTAGCACCACAAGAAGACGACATGAACGTATACTCCCTTACAGTTAACCAAGTAAAGGATGAGAACTAGGAATGATTCTAACCCTGTTTGGCTCAGTCTAAACCCATGCTGTTTCCACTACATGCTACATCATAACAGACAACAGATGGAATTTATTTATTTAATAATCTCCCCCACTGGACTGTGAAATCCTTGAAGACACTGAGCACGTTTGTATCTCCAGACTCTTCATGGAATACTAACTCTAGTTAGCACTGTGAATGTAGATTAAATGTAGTTAGCACTTAGTCTATAGGAACTCTGCCTAGAGAGGGAGAAATGTAGGCAACAGCCCTCCGGTTGGGCTTGTTATTGCTGTTTTCTGTGAAAAGGGTTATGCTAGAGGGATACTGGAGGTATACATAAGGACTAGGAATATCCCTATAGATACTTAAAGCGAGTAGAAGAAAATAGAAGGAGTCAAGGGAGGCTTTTTGGAAAGAGATGAGACATGAAAGGAATATTGAAGGATGTTATGCCTTAGCCAGGAACAGGGCATTCTGAAATTCTTTAAAAGTATTAATTGACAAGAGCTACAATTACTGTTCATGCTGACAGTTGTAAATTATTACTGCTGATAAACATTTTGTCCTTGAAAGCCTTTTTAAAAAGATTCTTTAAAATACAGTAATCCAGGTCTATTAAGTCATTACCATTGGGTTACCTCACAAAAAAACCAAGTTTAGGTGCAAACTCAAAGATACTGAGACACTAATCTATTTCTTAAACTGCTAAGTGGAAACCTCACTTCGTAGCTCTGCTAACAGCAATGTACCTCTGACATCCCAAGCTCACAGGAATAAAAAAAAACCACCTGGCAGAATATATATATATATAAATGGAACAAATCACTAAGACTTATTTTATCCTCAGTTACGTTGTGTTTCTATCAGCAGGAAGGTTTCTGGCACTAAGTTTGAGTCCTGGCTTTACAATCCACTAGGTGTGTGATCCGAGGCAAGTCAGTCTCTTCGTGTTTCACTGTTTTCACTTGTAAACATCTACTTAGAAGCTGTTGTGAACTTGATATTTTCATGCTTATAAACTGATTTTTTGAACGGAGCCTGGAACATAGGACATGCTAATAAGAGAAAGCATTTGCTACTTTTGGAAAAATCATGACAAGATAGTTTAAATACTTCTGATCTTAAGCACAGTATATGTATCTTGTTTTTAGCTAGTCGATGTGACAGTGAGATGATAAAAAGTTATCTTTGATTTGTACTACGAGTAAAATAATTCAACTTCATGTTCTAGAAAGATGTAAAAGAATTAAGAGTGACAGTCTTCCTAGTCTCAACTGCTATTTTCTCTATCAGGTGGTAAACTCGTCCAGAGAAGAGGCTGGCTTACGCTATATGGGATTCTGCAGCAACTTCTGTGGACATAGGCTCATCATCTTTCACACGGAGACTCAAGCTTTTTGGAGTCACAGTTGTTTTTGAGTCTACTCGCAGGTATACATCTTTTGCCCAGAAATATACACAACATTTGGCACATGGACTTGGAGGTAAAACAGGAGGAAGGCCTGAGGCTAGACATCACTCCAGTAAGTATACTAAGCTCTTAGAAAAGCAATCTACCTTTGCAGAGAAGTCTTAAACCTACAGCTTGTAAAGTAGCACCTTCAAAGTTGAGAGAAAGATGTGGGAGGGGCCCTGAGAGGCTACTGACTGAATAGATGAAAATGAAGATACGGAGGTGGGTGCCAAAGGAACCTCCCCCTCAAAATCAAACAATAACACCACAGTCAAGCACCTAGGGAGAGACAAGGAGATGCAGGAAAACAAGCGGAAACTCGAGAAGCTCTAATGCCTCTAAGGATCGATGACCACGGAAAATCTACGTAGCCAACGAGTTAAAACACATCAAGGCATTTTTTCTTAACAAGCAGGAAAGCTGCCTTTGCTTGAGGGGCGAGCTCCGCGACCTAGGAGTCTTCCTTGGACAGTCCAACCAGATTCTCTCTGGTTGGTCGGGCAGTGACCGCGTGCCTCCACAGCCTCTCAGCCCCGGGCCCACACACCCCGGGCTGCCGCACAACCTCTAGCCCTAGACCAGATCCACAACCCAGTCTTGAAGCTCAACCGCGACCCAGCAGCCCAACTTCTTACCATAGCGAGGCCGGCGGTGCCGCAGCCACATCACCCTTCCGGGCTCCAGGCGGAAGAGGCTGCACGCCCCGTCTGCCCTTCTAGCCCTCTCCAGCCCTCCGGTTGGGCTTGTCATGGCACCTCCTCCCAGGCCGCGCGATTAAGACTCTAGGATAGGCTCCTCTCCACCGGAAAAGGCGGGATCTAGAACACGTCCCGCAGGCCGGCGGAAGTAACTGATGCTCTCATTGGTTGCAAGACACTGATCTGAGAAAGCGGGCGTTTCGGAAGAGACCGGAAGTGGAGTCACGGAGAGGTAGGGTCCGGAAGTGGGGCTGCCTTTTTAACAAAAATCTGATGTTCTGTTCTTTTTATCTTTTTTGTTTCTTTTAAAAAAATCCCATGCCAGTTACCCCTAGAACTCCACAGTAAGAGAATCCCCCTCAATTTGTGAGCGCCCGCGCCTTCCTCTTGTGAGCTTTTGGGGATGTTAGGGTTCCCGAAATCATCCTCAGTGTGCGCACCTACCTGTTCACCTCAATTTCAGTTTCTCCATTTACATCTGGGGGATTCTTGGGAATGCGAAGCACTTTTGAAATGCCCTGTGTTGGTTGTGGAATTGGGAGGACAGTTGAATCCAGAGGGTAGTGTTCAGTATGCTGTTTGACATTGGCCTGTCCTCTCAATCCCCAGATTTTGATAAACTGTGGGTTCCCTCCAGGCATCGGGGGCTGAAACGCACTAAGCTCTTTGGAGTCAGGAAAGAACTTTCTGTGGTAACTAATGGGAATGACTCCCCTTTAGGGAGTGCAGCAATTGATTAGGTACTTTAAAGATATCAACTGGCAAGACGGATGACAAGCCAATGTGTAATCTAGTAGTATTTAGCTTTTTCTGATTTTAATTATTCCATTAGGTGAGGATTAGGTGAGGTTCTGTTACACACACATACACACATTTTTCTTGCTGCATTTTATAGGTGGAGAAACAGGCGCTTTGACGTGTTTGAGTTTGCATAGTTCTTGTTAGTCTAATAAAGTATTAGAAGTGAGAGTTTTTCACTCTGCCCCCTAATGGCAACCTTTTGGCGCTTAATGTGTGGTGTATTTTTTCCCAGGCAGCAGAGGGTTCTTTTCAGAATGTCATCAATTTTTTATTTATTGACTTTGAAGGTGGATAGAGAGAGAGAAGGCAACTCACGTGAGATGTTGGTTTATGAGCTGTATACGGCCTATGAGACCCTTCTGTATTAGGGCAACACAATGATTAGAAGATTTGGGATTCTGCTATTTGTGTTTACATTGTTTGCTCAGGCACACAAAGATTATTTATTTGTTGAGACAGAGTCTCGCTCTGTCGCCAGCCTGGCGTGCAGTGGCACCATCCTGGCTCACTGCAACCTCTGCCTGCCAGGTTCAAGCAATTCTGCCTCAGCCTCCCGACTAGCTGGGACTACAGGTGTATGCCACCACACCCAGCTAATTTTTGTATTTTTAGTAGAGACGGGGTTTCACCATTTTGACCAGGATGGTCGCAATCTCTTGACCTCGTGATCCACCCGCCTCAACTTCCCAAAGTGCTGGGATTACAGGCGTGAGCAACTGCACCCTGTAAGGTTTTGTTTTAAACTATAACTAACTTGATATTTGAGTATGTTATATTGACTTGTCAAAGGTTGGTCAAATAAACAAATTAGCAAGTATTTACTGGGTGCCTGCTTTATTCAGGGATCTCGAGATTGCAGCATAAAACAAAGATGGTCTATTCCTTTAAGGAATTTAATAAGGATGGGGGAGAGGGTAAAAAGAAAGGTAAAAAAAACACAGTACTCTCTACCTGAGGAAGAAAAAAGTCTTTAATATTCTGTCTTGTAGTTGCTTTACATTGTACCTTTCAATTCCTGCCATTCAAATTAAACAAACCTGGTTTTGTTTTGGAAATTATGTTTTGCAACTTATTGAGCTTGGCTTTTAGGGTAGTAAATGTGTCTGTAGACAACTGCCCTTGGTTTCATATGAAGATTGTCTTGATCTTTGTTACACTAAAGGCTAATACTTCTGTATGAAGCTGTGCTTCAGGCTACCTGTGAAGAGCATCAGAAAGCTTCAAAATAATAAAGAATAATATTGCCAGTTTTTTAGTTGTCCACAGAGAAACGCATGTGCCAATAAATGAGGCCGAACAAATATGTATAATGTTTATTGTATTTATGTAAAACATCAAAGTTAATCTGATGTGTTGAGATTTTTTTGGGAGGTGATTGTTTAGCTGCATCACCTTTAAGCACATAAATCACCTACATTTTGGTTTTCAGATTATATCACAATTTCAAAAGACTTTCTGGAAGCTTTGTAATAAATCCTAATTTAAAACCATCTTGGATCCTTTCCTTACTAGAAATAAAATGACTACGTTATTCCTTTGTTCAAAAATTATTTATTTTTATTTTTATGTTTGAGACAGGATCTTGCTCTGTGGCCCAGGGTGGAGTGCAGTGGCACAATCATGGCTCACTGCAGCCTCAACCTCCTGGGCAGAAGCGATCTATCTCCCTCCCTCAGTATCCTCAGTAGCTGGGACCATGGGTATATTCCACCACAGTTGACTAATTTTATTTTGTTTTTTATAGAGACAGGGGCTTACTCTTTTGCCTAAGCTGGCCTCAAACTCCTGGGCACAAGTGATCCTCCCACCTCAGCCTCCTGAAGTGCTGGGATTACAGGTGTAAGCCACCACATCTGGCCGGTTAAAAAAATTATTATCCCTCCTGCTTCTGGAAGAATATTTCCAACTTTGGTTTCATGGGTATTTTAGAATCGTATGTAAAAATAGTGGATATTTGTATTTTTCTGTGGAGCCAGTGCACAGGTGTCCTCAGTGTTATGAGGATTAAATGAGTTATTACAAGTAAATCATCTAGGCAAGTGTTTGACGTACAATATGCCCTCAGAAAGTGTTGGCTATTATTGTGCATGGCTTTCTCTTTGCTAAATTAAAAGTCCCTGGAGAGGAGGAATTATAATGGAGGAATGGTTGAATTGCATATATTAGGCACTAAATACAGTAGTCCCTCCTTATCTGAGGTTTTGATTTCTGCTGTTTCAGTTATCCGTGATCAACCACAATCTAAAAATATTAAGCAGAAAATTCCAACCAGGTGTGGTGGCTCCTGCCTGTAATTCCAGCACTCTGGGAGGCTGAGGTGGGTGGATCACTAGTGATCAGGAGTTCAAGACAAGCCTGGCCAACATGACGAAACCCTGTCTCTACTAAAAATACAAAAATTAGCCAGGTGTGGTGGTGCATGCCTGTAGTCCCAGTTACTCAGGAGGCTGAGGCAGGAGAATCAATTGAACCTGGGAGGTGGAGGCTGCATTGAGCTGAGATTACACCACTGCACTCCAACCTGGGCAACAGAGCAAGACTCCATTTCAAAAAAAAAAAAAAAAAAAAAAAAAAGAAAAAGAAAAAAGAAAAGAAAAAATATTCCAGAAATAATTCATAAATTTTAAATGGCATGACCTTCTGAGTTGTGATGAAATATCATTCCGTCTCACTCCATCCAGCCTGGGGCCATGAATCATCTTTTCTCTTTGTTCAGCATATCCCTGCTATATAAACTTCCTGCCTATTAGTTGCTTGGTTATCAGATTGATAGAGGTGGTATCATAGTGCATGTGTTCTAGTAATACTTATTTTACTTAATTATTGCTTCAAAGCACAATAATAACGATGCTAGCAATTTGGTTACGCCAAAGAGTAGCTGTAAAGTGCCTCTTTTAAGTGAAAAAGTGAAAGCTCTCCACTTAATAAGGAAGAAAAAATATCATATGCTGATGTTGCTAAGATCTATGGTAAGAACGAATCTATCTGTAAAATTGTGAATAAGCAAAAAGAAACGTGTGCTAGTTTTGCTGTCACACCTCAAACTGCCAAATTTACACCCATAGTGTGATGAAAGCTTAGTTAAAATAAAAAAGAAATTAAATTTCTGGGTAGATGTGAACAGAAACATGCTCAGATTGAAGGCAGTTTAGTTCAGCCTCCCTGGGGGGCCTTGGGATGTACACCCTTAGATAAGGAGAGTACTACTATAAAAGGCTTTAGTATTAAATTGATACTGCATTTATATCACCAGACCACTTTCTCCCCATTTTCTCATTTTACTTTGTTTCTAGTGTTAATGATAGGGTTAATTTACATTACCTACCTTTTTTCAGTCACTGTTATTCACATATGTTGAAAGACAATTGTTCTGCTTTTTTTCTCTGATCCTCAGCTAGCCTCCCTAACCTCAGGTAGGGGTTTTTCGTGTTCCAGTGTTTGTCCTTTTTCTTCTTCTCTCTCATTTTTTTCTCTTCCTACATGGCTTTTCAATTCAGAGTGAAATGTACTTGAGGACCAAAGTTAATACAGTTTGATTGTGTTAGGGATTTTTGTTAAATGTAGATTTTCAGCTGCTCTTGTCACACACAAAAATATAACGTAGACGACAGGTGTTAATCTCCTTCACTGAAGTAACCATTTTACTATCTATATGTATCCTGTAACATCAAGTTGTAAACCTCAAATAAACCCAGTATCATTTTTTAAAAAGAATTTTCACCAAAAAAGACACTTCTATTTAATCTATGTATTATTTCTTTTACCTTAAGAAATGCTTCTCTTAACCTTTCTCCATTTTCAACCCCATTTATTTGCTCTTCTCTGCAATGAAAATCCTTTAAAGGGTTTTCTATTCTCCATGTCCCAAGTCCCCTTTTTCTACCTCTGCATCTTCATTTGTGTATTAAAAAGATATCTTGAGCTCAGATGTCCCAGAACGAACTCCTTTGCTCCCAATCCTGTCCCATTCTTTCTCCTCTGAATTGATGGCAACTTCATACAGCCAGTTGCTCAGTTGAATCTTTGGAATCATCCTTGACTCCTTACTTTCCCTTGTATTCCAACAAATTCTGTTGGCTTTTTCTATGAAATATATTTAGAATTCAACAGTTTTCTACTATTTCTGTTATTAGTATATCGGTCGTCTCTTGCTTGGATTTTTGTCATTATCCACTATGATTGCATGCTTGGATTACGGTAATTGTATTCTGTTCTCTCTGCTTTTTTCAGTCCTTTCCTCCTTACAGTCTATTCTCATATGCCAGCCAGAGTGATACTTTTAAAATATAAGTCAAAAATTGTATATT